GTTATAGCTTACCAAAAATTTGTTTGTGCAAGTAATCAGATTTTTTGCCACTAGATAATCTTCTTTAAATGTAAAAGTTGGAAAAAAAATGAAATGTTTTTCCCTCGAAATTTATCTGTAATACATTTTTATCACCGCATCTTATGTAAGTTCATTTTATAGACAGGTTTTTGTTGTCGGGAACAAAACTCAGATTTAAATCCTATTACAGTTGCAATAGTCGCACATACTGCCCTGGTTGACCGGAAATTTGTCTTGATACCCTGAGTAGTTGGTGAATGCGAACATGGCGGAAAATGCGAACATGGCGGAATCGATCACTGTATAGGTCGATCAGTATAGAAGTAGGTGACGTAATGTTCAAACTGATTGTCAGAGAGCGATGCTGTGATACTGATATTGTTCCAAAATAAATTTTAGATGGTAAGTTTTATTTACAGTTTCTTCAAAGATATGTTGTCCAGTTGATGTCAATCGACAACAGAAACACTCATATTATATCACACAAATAAAAAAAATCAAAGCAAAATGCTCCACACTATATGATCAAACTCAGAATTACAAACTGCATCATTGTGATCAAAGGATGGCAGTGGTGCTGAAGGCAGAGGGGGAGGGTGTGGGGGTGGGGGGTTTGGTGATGCGCAATTTAAGAATTGCTATGAAGTCCGGGAGAAATATAATATGGCTAGCCTAAAATCTTCTGATAATGGATCATACTGACCAATGACCATCTTCATGAGTGCGCAGTGATGATTTAGCAGCGAATACTCTCCTACTGCTAAGGATTGGGAGCTTAAAGTTAAAAATTTCCTAGAAGTTGAAACTTATTTTTAAAAAAAGTCGCCTTTGTACATGGTTTAATAATAATAATAAGTACTTCAAAAACAAAAAACCATAGTTAAAAAGAACTCCTTGTTGAACAATTATATTTTCTGAACATTTTCAAGGAATTAGTGGTGCACTCCCAAAATGGAAAGGAAAACATAATATTTGAAAAAAAGAACTTAAGAGAAGTAAGCTTTTTGGTCACTTAAATAATAATTTCAGTCTAAAATTCTTCTTTTTTTTTGATAGAAATCATCATTCAGTTTATTTACGTTCAAGCAGCCAACAAAGACAACTTAAGAACATCTTTAGACAACTCGTCTGAGAGAGGGCAAATAGTGACACAGAAATGTGGCTCTTTACATTAGAATGCTCCCGAGCAGTGTGCGCTCACCTCTATTTCCGGATCAATTCTTGACCACAATGTGCTATGTTTCGACCCAAATTTGGGTATCTTCACCTCCTAAATAGAAAATTAAAGCTGGCACACCCACCGAAGCTTCACAGTCTCAATTTTTAGATCACAGTTTCACTGAAGCCTGCATATTATCCGGATGGCTGGGACGATGTGAATACATAATGTGCCGTTTTGCCCAACTGAGAGTCGCTGATCGCAACCAGTACCACGACGTAATCGCAAGCTGTGGCGATATTAATGGAAAATGTATCGGGATTAATCAAGATCTGATAGTGGAAGCGAAAGTGTGGCTTGTCTTTGCACCAGAGTGTATAAGCAAAGCCTTCGTCAGCTCCAGCTCGTGGGTAAGCATAGGACAATACGCCTTCAGCACTTGATGCACCAGGGCTCTGAGTCACACTTTGGATTGTAGGCGCCACTGGAAACGTGTTAACCACAGTGGTAAACACGCTCATAGGGACACTAGGAACCTGGTTTCCGTCCTCGCAAGCAAAAGTAACTCTGATTCCACATTCAACGGATCACGCATTAAGTAATATTTTTTTTAAAAGTTACTTTAAATATAATCTATTGAAAATACCAATTGTCAAAGTTTTGAAACGTGTAGAATTCTAAGATTTCTTAACCATCTTTTTCAGTCTAGATTGTTCGGTTAGACTAGCAACCCAAGTTCGCATATTCGAACTTTCTATTAAACTATTCAATAGGTTATATTGAAGAAACCATACAAAAACTACTAACAAAAAACTTGATCTCAAAACCTTTAGAATTTTTCATTGGAATACCTATTGACAGCAATTCGAAATTTTAATGAGCTCATACGAAACACTTCATCCCTTTGGTTTCAAAAAAATTATAATCGAAATTTTAATGAGCTCATACGAAACATTTCATCCCTTTGGTTTCATTTATTCCAGTGTTTCATAGAAAAATCCGTGTATTATTGTTCCGACTTTCGATACGAAAGTAACGGAATATTTGTGCTCGGGGTGGGTTTTTTTTTTCTTCAGACAAATTTCGACTTTTTAACTAGCCATTTTTGACGGAATTTTTTTTATATCATTCGAAAGGTATTGTTGTCCTGAGCTCAAATTTGAAAAGATATTTTACCTGTGATCATTTTTCGTAAAGTTACGGGGGTTTAAATATTGCCATTTTGGCCAATTTGGGACAATTAACGCGCGATATATTTCGCGCTATTAACGCGTAAGCGGAGAGTTAATCCGTCTTAGAAATCGTTCCAAATTGGTTAAAAGAAGCCTATTTGCTATAATCGGTTTGTTACAAGGAGCGAAATATATCCTTTTGTACTTTAAATGGCGTGTGGGGGGATGATTTTTATTTAAAAAATTTCAAATTTTCGAAAAAATTTTTTTTCCATTTTGTTTTATTTCATTGAATTTTTTAATGTTATTACTGCTCCATAAACCTTAAAAGGCAGTCGGAACATTCAGGGCTTCGCCCTGATACGAGCAGTCTTGTTATCATTTAAAATTAAACACCAATTCAAAAAGAAATAAAAATAACCCCTGAAATTTTGTGTTCATTTTCAATAGAAGACTCAGCTCATGGTAACTATTCAAGCAAAGTTTCTGAGAATTTTTAGCTATTCTGTTTTCAAGTTTCTGATTCATTGTTTCTAATTTTTTTTCGATAAATCCAAAAAAAATTGATCAAAACCTAAATCTTATGAACCTAGGCTAATTTCTAGGCTAAGCAAAGACGTGAAGATGACAAACAATGATAAGACACCGAAAACATTTAGAAAATTGCCGTTGTTATTATTTTATAACAAAAACACTTTTTATAAAAAACTAATGATTTATACGGACCCATTGGATGCAAAATTATATCTATGTAATCTATGTGATGATGTGAATCAGATTTCTCGTGTATCTATGAGGCTTTTACTGCTACGGTACTCAGGTTTTTGGTGGTGCCTTTCTCCAAAGTTTGACTCAGAACTTTGTTGCATCTTATGTTGACCGCGTAATGTCCTATGCTTACCCGCATGGTGAAACTAACGAAAGCCTTGTATCTATACTTTGATGCAGAGAAAAGACATACTTTCTGGGCTCACAATTTTATTGATACACTTCGATACTCTTTGCGTTAATCTCCTCGCATTTCCATTTTGAGGCCAAACTGTGTATTTAATGAATTGTAAGCGGATTCCGCAACAAAGACTCTCCCTTTGTTCTTCTTTTGTTCTTGTAATTTTTTGATCGTTCCGACGAAATTAAAACATGTTGGGCCCCGTAATGTCGTGATTGAATCATGGGACTATGGTTTTTTATTATTGAGGAACTTAATATTCAACTATGATTTGAAGAAAAATATTTCAAAAGTTATCTTAATTTCAATTTCTAGGAGTGCTTTATAACAAAGCTATGTTTCTTTTTGTGCCAATAAAATCAGTTTCTAGAAAAATTGAAATTTAGATACCATTTCAATTATTATTATACAGCGAATCTCGGTCACAACTTTACTGTTGCGTGGATTTTATCCAGATGGTTGGGACGTTGTGAACACATATACTGTCGCTTTGCCTAGCAGAGAGTAGCTGTGCGGATTGAGATCTATTACGTAATCGCAAGCTGTGAGGATACCAATGGTAAAGCTGTCGGGGTTAGGATTCTGATTTACATGTATGCTGCTACGAAACCCGGGCTTGTCTTTGCACCAGAGCACACATCCAAAACCTTCTTGAGTTCCACCGCGCGGGTAGGGGTAGGACAAGGTCACTACAATATAATTTGCACCAGGGCTCTGAGTCACACTTAGGACTGTAGGCGCTACTGGAAACGTGTATGCCAAAGTAGTAAACACACTCATAGGCACAATAGGAACTTGGTTTCCATCCTCACAAGCAAAAGCAACTCTGATTCCGCATTCAACGAGTCACGCATTATCTATTACTTTTTGAAATGTGCCATTTAAATTTAAAAAAAAATGCGAATGGCAATTGTCACGGTTTGGACTCTTGGAGAGTTACAAGGTTTTTAATGGTTTCAGAAAATTTTGAATACCACCAATTTTTTTTTTTGAACTGAAATTTAAAAAATAGAATACACGGATTTTTCCAGGAACATTAAACTGAACGAACTATACTATTTTTGGTTGTAATAAAAAATACGACAAAAATTGCAGAAACAGTTCGACAAAGCATGCTGCACTGTGTGCTGATATTTATCGGACCAAGTTAACACTCTCGTCAAAGCGCGGAAAACGTGCAGTGACCATTTGAAGACCGATACATAATTTCTGTTCCTATACACCATCTGCATGCCACGTGTATTTTTGTTTTTTCGGGGGCGTTTATCAGTGCGAAAATCAACTGAACAAAATTAAAACAGTGCTAAAACCTAACAGTGCCAAAAATTAATAGTTTTTGGTACACATTTTATGTTCGGCGCTATTGAGCATTATTTTATTTTACACCAGACGTTGTAAAAGTAATCACCGCAGTCGCGTCAACGTGTTCAAGGCAATTTTTTTTCCAATTTCATGATTTCAGATTAGTTAAAACGAATAAGGAAAGTTAGCTTAGATATAAGTAAATATTTGTCTGATTGACAAAAAAAGGGTTCAGATTTTTCGTTTTGGAATTTTTTTCGACTTGAAAAATTTGGGAACTATTTTGAAAACTATCGAGTTTGATGGATCTCTCTTATTTTGGAATATATCGAGCTTATTGGATTCTTCTTATTCGTGTACTGATCAGATTTTTTTGAATTATTTGGAAATTGTTTTCTCAATATTTAATGCGGGATCCGTGCGAGTATATGTATCCAGGGTCCCAAATGTCGCTGGTTTCAACCAGATCTCGAGCAGAGGAGAGTATAGTGACAGTTTTCATCGAGACTCCTGTTTCGTATTGCACGAAAGTAAGGTCACACTTTGTAATGAAGGTGGGCAGGGCCCATTCTAAATCAATCGAGTTCGCGAAAGGCAGCTGAAAAAAATAAGTGTACAAATCATATGTGAACAGACTATAATCAAACAAGCTTGTTTGAGTTGTCACGATTTATCCACGAGGGAAAGCAACAACAAAAGAGTTGTTCAGTTATTGCAGGAGCGGATGTATGGGGGGGGGTGCGGACGCCTTTTTTCCCTTTCTTCGGGGATTCGACTCTCTGACCAAGCAAAAGATCCCCCTCGAGTGTGCGTACAGTAAATTGATGTATAAGCAAAATACTGTATCAGTAAACCAAATTATGAAACATTTACTTAACGTTCAACAATTATCAATTATGTAAAATCTTGTTTCATTCGTCGCAATTTTGAATTTTCGTTCCTAAACAAAAGTTGCTCTGCCTTGTTAATATGATGTTATCCATCTTTTTGTGTTGTTTGGAAGAGACGAATTTTCAAGATCGTGCAGAAAGATGCCGTGATCCACTGTGTCGAAAGTTGCAGTGAGATTTAAAGCAACTAAGAGTGTCGTGTGTTGAGGACGAGAATGGTTTATTTCGTTTCTTGTGTCACTGGCTATGCAATGTAAGACAGTGTTTTTTGACCCTTGTTTTCGGAATCCGTGCTTGCGATCTGCTAGTGGGATATTGTTGAAGTCATCCAGCAGGATTTTGTTCCGATCAATTCCGCTGCTGGGGATAATAGGGAAATAAGACGGCAGCTTTTTGTTTCATCTTTGCCTTTTCCCGTTTCCAGTAAAGGAAGGTTTCGACCGAGTTTCCAGTTTTGCGGAATGATTGAGGAGTTTAGAGTGATAGATACTGGTTCTGTTGAAACTTTGATAGTTTTATCATCAAGATAGAGAAGATGATTGGAGGCGATGATATCGGGCCCTGAAGCTTTTGTTTTTTTTGCTCAAATCAATTTTGTTTGTGACGACCTTTGGGACAATTGCAGTGATTTCATGACGTTTTTTTTTCAGTCTGCGGAGCCTATTGCCTTTTTCTGTGTTCGGGATGAGCGGTTGATGTGTGCATTGATGATTAAATAAGTTTGCACAATTATTCGAATCGTAAACTGGTTTGGTGTTGAAGTTTATCGGTTGATTTTGTGCGCTGTCAGCTGACTAGCCCGCTAAAGAGCTTACAGTTTTTCATAATTTGTGACTAATTCATTAGTGGGTGAGATTATTAACAATTTTAATACTTTTATTGCGTTTGTGTCTTTTACAAAGGCATCAATTTCTTTGTACAACTAGTAAATATTTGGGTCACCAGGATTGTTTGGTTGAAGTTTGTCCCCAGTCTTGGAAAGCTCTAGAACTTGTTTTGGAAAGTGTGTCCTGAATGTTTTAAAGTGGCAATTTGGAATGCGCCGTTTGGCTCCCTTTCTCAAAATTTTGCTGCTGAATGTAGCTTCACCTTCAAATGTTGTTTTGTTTGATTTGCATTTGCCATTTGCATTTGGTAGATGCGCGAAAACTTTTCCAATATGCTTTCTTAAATTCAATGAAAGGTCTTTTTGGTTCAACGAAGTCGACATCACAAATCGGTGCTAACACGATTACCTGATGATGAGAGCCAAGGCAATTCTCTGTGGTCCAGCTTATTTTTATTGCCAGGTTGGCTTTTGCAAGACTCATGTAGGGTGAACTTTCGCAAGTGGAGGTTATTCTGGTTTGGACAGTCTCATTTAGGACTTCGTGGTTTGAATCATCTGTTTATTTAGAAAATATAGCTCCTCTTGATGCGGTGTAGTCTGAGTCACAGCTTGCAGGTTTATGCGACTTTCTGTGTGGGTCTTGACAGCTTATTAATATCTTAAGTTTTTGATGCTTAGCGCTGTTTTTGATGAGAAAAGCCAAGTCAAGCCTCCATCCTGATTTTTTCCAGGTTACGGTTTTTAGTTATATTTGAGTAACTTGCAGGTGCTTTACATGTGTTTTTAATGTGAAGTTTGGTTTGCTGAATGTCTGCAACAGATATTAGATAGTTTCCATGAATTGAACGATTTTGTCATGTTTTGAGTTGTAAGATTTTGAAGTTTTTGCATTGGTTTTTTTCATTGCTTGGTTTCGGGGAGATCAGTTTTTTGGGTTTTCTTTGATTTTGGGAGGTTTAGTCATTGCCTGGTTTTTCGCTTTTTGTTTGCTTGGTTTGGTGTAGTAGTTTTGATGTTGACAATAAGAGCAATTCCGCAGTGTTATGTAACCCGTTTTTTCAAAAATTTGCCTGCTGCGCTAATATTGTGGGCAAAATAGAGTCTTCATAGTGTTCTGGGAGTGCTCGGAAATCTAATTGATCGACCTAACAAAAAGTCAAAGAAATCTTCTAAATTTTTTGAAAATACGCCACCTCGAGAAAATCCTGGATCCACCCTTGGACCGAACTGGAAAAAAAATTCAATTAAATGTATTACTTTAAATTTGATAATTGGTTGGGATTCCGACCCCTTGATCCCCAAAAGATTTCCGGTCGATCGAACCGTAACTTTTTCTAAACCTGTCATAGGCGCTTTATTTACTAACTTCGAGACAAATTCGCGCGCCGAAAAATTGGATTTTTTTGGTCAAAACATTCTATTGGTCTGTTTTTTCAAAAATTTGCCTGCAGCATAAAAACTTCTGTTACAGATTTTTTAAAAGTTTTTGAGAAAACTTAGAAAATCAATCTAATCAACTGTTCGAAAAAAGTCTGCACCCTCCCCCGTTTAAAGCTTAGATCGGCGCGTGGGAAATTTTGCTTTAAAAAAGTACATGGTAAAATTTTCATACGCTAGTTATATTTTTGAAACAAAATCATGGCTAGTTATATCTTATTATTTCATATGTGCTCGCAAAAAATGTGCTCTTCTGATGCACTCCTCTTTTGTTTCAATTTTGTGTGTTCGGGATTTTTTTTTTTGGATTTTATTATATGATTTCACCTTGTTAGTGTGTGACGATTTGTAGGACCACAACAACTCCTCAGGAGCTCCTGCTACAACCATGTCTGGAAAGTCATCCGAATCGCACACTTTGGGCAGTATAACTGGGTTCAAGATCACGTAGCCGGTCGTGAACTCGTTTGTGTAAGTGTCCTGGTGTTCCATGATTAAAACAAACCAATAGAAAGTGTCTAGCTCGAGCACAGGTTGGATATGAGGGTACGATGCCTCCAACTTGAACACCTAAAATGCCGAGTATGAAAAAAAAAGTGAAATATGACCGTTCGAAAGTTGCATCATTGAGCATACAAACTGCCGATGCATTACGCGTCTGCATTTTGTATATTATAAGCAGATTCTGCATTAGCCTGGAAATAGCTTTGTCGTGAAATCCGCAGCAAAGCTAGTATCTTTGCCTGTTTTGCTGTTGTGGCAGCCAAAAACAAACGGCTATAAAACTGTATCGCTCCAAATCACTCCGAAAGCAGACAACTGGCCAAATTTTGTGGAATTCATACCCGCATCCAAATTTAGGCGTAAGTAATTGATTATAACGGATTATCATGATGATTTTTTGACGATTATTTTTGAATATAATTAGCAAAATTAGGTTTTTAAAGGATTTGTAATTAGAATTATAGTGATATTTTCCAGGAGATTATAATCTATTATAATCAAATATAATTGATTATAATTCATACAAAAAACTCTTTCAATCAATTATAATCGATTATATTGTCTTGTTTTTACAAAAACTATGTCACAACAAAATGTAATTTAATTATAATTCATGAGTTTTTAACTTTTTATGAAAAAAAAAGTCTATAAAAGCGAGATGTCTTCATCTGAACACAAAGTTTTACCACGAAACAAAAGTTTCTTAAAAATCGTTTCACATTAGTTGAAAAATTCCCGCGATAGGTGAAAATAAATTTCTGTATCATTTAAGAAATTAAAGCAATGTGTTAATAATTTAGTGTTAAAAAAATTTAAATGTGCATCATGAAACAACTTCAATGGAGAAATGAAAAAAAGTTAAAAAATTGAACTCATTTGAAAAACTTAGGTACAATTTTCTCATTTCTCACGAAAACCAATGTCTACGAAAAATATAAAACATAAGCAAATCAATTGCAACATCCAAAACAAAATGGGCACCCAAGAAGGTTTATAATCTTTTATGATAGGATATAATCGATTTGTTGCTTACAGAAAATGAATTAGAAATTGGGATACAGTTTTGCAATTTAATTGATTATTATCAATTATAAATGCATCAAAAAATAGATGGATTAGAAATTGATCAAAATTGATTGAAAATGCATTCTAACTGATTACAATATTAATAGATTATTTCAATTGATTATTAATTGATTAAAATCGATTTTTCTCAGTTTAAGTAACACTGCTACTAAAATCGAATTATAAACGATTAAGCAAAATTGAAAATCGGTGCGGGTAAACAAACAAGATCGTTTGTATCAGGGCAAAGCTCAGAGTGTTCCGACTGCCTTTTGATGTCTATGGAGCAGTAATAAATTGAAGAAAAAATAAATTTGATTAATTGAAACAATTTGTGATCAGTGGACTTCGCGGCACTAGTTGCTCTTTTAGGACATGGGTCAGTTTTAATTCAATACTTTATTTTATTCCTTTTTAACTTAGTTTAGTTAGAATAGTGGTGTTTGCATACTTTTATTATGGCGCAGTCATCAACTGATTCGAATCTGCGGGGAATTCCCGCCTTTTGGCCAAACCACAATATAGAACCACCCACCCAATGGACCAACTGCATTGACCAATTCCATCTGGCTATCATCGCTAAAGAGAATTTAGGTATAGGTAATCTAAAGGAACCATTGGATCTGGAGACTACCGTCCCTGTCCTAGAAGGCGCCCAGGAGTCGGAAATTGAACCACAGAGGAAAGTCTGGGAGGCCAGAAATAAAGAGACTTTGGGAATCTTTGAACACGCAGAAGACAAAGGAATTGCCGAAGAAGAGAAACAAAAATTCGGAGGCATGAGGAGATTCGAGACCGATAAAAAGTAAGATCAATCTTATTTTTGGCCCTAGGAGCTGAAGGAAAGAGAGTTTTTACTCAAAAACACCCGAGTGTTAAAATCCTAGGAACCTCCCTCAAAAAATTTTTCGATCTACGGGAAACAGTTTTTATCAAACCAAAAAATATTACGTCCGAACGATACAAATTGCTAAGCAGAAAGCAGAAGGACAGGGAATCCTATGAACAATTTTGGGGAGCGCTATCAGACTTAGAAAGATCATGTGAAATTGGAATCAACGCCGAACTGGAGTGGATAAGAGATGTATTTATTTTCAACATGGAAAACTGTGATTTACAACGAAGATTACTCTAGGAAACTCTTAATCTAGTGGATGCACTCAACCACGCCATCATCGACGAAAAAGGCTACTACAACCATCTTAAACTAACAAACATGACTAGATCATTCAATACGACAGGAAGTAGTGGCCGAGTGTACAAAAATTTTAATAATGCAAAAAAGGAACCAAGTTTGAAAATAGAAAGATTTAATAGTTGTATGAAATGTGGGAACGCGTTTACCAAGGGTCACCTGAATTTGTGTCCGTCGAAGGAAAAAATCTGTAACATTTGTAAATATAAAGGACATTTTGGAAGACTGTGTAAATCGGAAGGAAGATCACCCGCTGTAAACATTGTAGAAGAAATAGTGAATAGTCAGAATTTTCCATAATTTCCAGAAGAACTACAAGCAAGAACTGAAGAAAACATTTGTGGCGTGATTAAGGCTCGGACAGAAGAGGGGATCAGTGATAACGACGATTATTCCGTTCTTAACATCAGAACCATCTACGACACCAATGGTATGGAATTTAAGAAACTGGTTAACATTGGACTGGGAGATGACGCGAAAGTCAACCTGAACATTCCAGTAGATTCGGCGGGCCCAGTAAGCTTCCTTAAGCAAAACGTCCTACACGAACTGAAATTGAGAAACCCACATCTGTAAATCCACTCAGTAGACAAGAAAACTCGTGAATTATACTGCGGTTTTACTAACGATACAATCAACATCATCGGAAAAATTGTAGTTAGAATACAATCTAATGGATGGATTGGGGAAGAAACTCCATTTTTTATCACCTCTGGACACGAGAAGAACATTTTAGGAAACGATAATTTACCACGAATCGGAATTGAAATAGCTCAACGACAACCACTACCCGTCAACAACGTAACCCTTCCAGATTCGTGTAAGTCAAACTATCATTCAGACACAATCCTTAATTTGTACAATAAATGCAAAGGATTGCTCAACAGAGTATGGAAAATACCCTTGGACAGAAAAATCACTAATTTCCGCTCCCCGTTCAAACTTATCCAAACCAAAGGCAGAAGAGTTCCTCATCTTTTACTAGATAGTGTAAAGGTGGAATTTACTAGAATGGAAAAGGAGGGCATATTGTAAAACTTAGCAAATGTGACGAAGACTGCTTTATTAGTCCAATAGTGATAACAAGAAAAAAGCACGGTAGTATCAAGTTGGCTTCAGATTCAAAACTCCTTAATGATCAGGTATTCAAGAACCAATATCAAATGCCAAACATACACGAGCTCATCGACAACATACCCCTCCAACTTTCTAACAAAGATTCAGGGGAAGGCTGGTGTAGCAATTTAGACCTAAAAAAGCGTACAGTCAATTACAATTATGCACAGACACTAGCAAACAATATAATTTTAGTATCGTAGGCGGTGAAACCACCGGGGCTTATCGATTTTTAACGGAGTTTTACGGGCTAGGCGATGTGCCAAACGAATTCCAAAGGGTGATGGATTCACTACTGAAAAATATTCCTCTTACCAACTGTTATATCGACGATATTTTAATAGCCTCAAAAGGATTGTTAAACGAACACAAAGCGAAACTAGCAAAAATCTTAAATATTTTGGGCAACAAGAATATGGTAGTAAAGTGAGAGAAAACCGCATTTTTCCTGGAAAAAATAGAGTGGCTGGGATTCAAGATATCAAACTCGGGGGTGAAACCATTGGTGCGAAAGTCAGATTCTATAAAAAGCATTCCGAACCCGAAAAACATATCTGAATTAAGGTCATTCTTCGGCTCGATCAACCAATATATGAAGTTCGTCCGGAACCTGTCAACCCTAAGATCTCCGTTACGCCCACTCTTACTTAAAAAAATCAGTTTACCAACAGAACGACGATCACACGAAGGCTTTCGAAGAATTAAAGAAACAGAAAACTACTTGTATGGCGCCGAGTTCGAGATTGTAACGGACCACAAGGCATTGTTATCGTCTTTAAACGTTATTCAAAGTAATAAAATTATGCAGAGTAGACTGACCCGTTGGGTAAATCGACTTTTACCATTTAATTTCAAGATCAAACATATACCAGGAAAAGACATTGGATTTATGGATTTATTGTCGAGAATACCTTCAGGAAAAGCCCTCCCAACCTCGCACTATGATAACGAATTTGTAGAGGCAACAGTGAAAAAGATTGTAGATAACCTCTCTGTTAAAATTGATTGTAAAAAGAATAATTGTACAACGAACGAATTGTACAATCCAGTGGATGTAAATACTATTACAGTGGATGTAAATACTAGTGGATTACAATAAACCAATGGGCGGAAAGAAAGAATTAACTTTATAAATTCAACGGTCGATCTTCGCGAAAATTCTTAACTACATCACCGACACAATTAGAAAGTGTAATTCTAATCACTCGCGTTCAGAGTCCTGTACAAGCGATTGCATCCCATTAAACTTTTCAAAATTTAATTTTAATTACTTCCATCTTTCAGATAAAACTTATCTATTTTTTATTTCACATTCATTATTATCCTTTAACCGGTCCCTAAATCTCGAAAGCAAAAATCTAATTTTAGAGTTTCTCGCGTCTGTGAAATTGTTAAAAGTTTCCCTTAAGGCGGAAAATAAAGGAATCATTTTAAATGTTGTCAACGACATAATGTCAGACACTCACAAAAAATTACTCGCTTAATACAAGGGAGACATAAAGTTACCAGAAACTCCATTATCTTTCAGCAAACATTGCTCCATTAGATTAATTAGTCTTATGACAGACGAGGACAAAATACTCAAGGACGCGAAGAAGGCAGTAGAAGAAGGCAGACCATTGGACAGATTCGGAGCTTACCTGAAAAACTTTCAACGGGACATTCACGTGAACGAAGGATTGCTATTCAA